GTCGTCACTTCTGCACGGAGTTAAAACTTGGGGCAAGTGCTCTTTGCTGTAAGAAGAAGACTTGAACCTTTTGGAGTTGTTTGGCCTGTCTTTTCAGAAGTTTCAGCTGCCTCGAGATGAAGAGAAGGGGTGTTTCGCTAGCCGCGAAACACCTGAAAACATCATAAACCACCTGAAAACCATCATCCGCCTTTGTTTCCAGCGTCTGGCAGGGGGTTGTTGCCCCAAACCTTTGTACCACATGGTGGTTTGCTCCAAATCCCATCTCCGGCATTGGGGTTCATCAATGATGCTGAGGCCTAAGCATCGACATGGTGCTGGAGCCGAGGAGAAGTGCAAGCTCAGCGCAGAGTGAGCGCGCGGAAAAAAGAAGAAAAGGGGCACGGCTCCAGCTTCTTCAAAGTGACCTTTTTGGAGTCCCTAAGTGATCATTTCCAGGCCCAAGTGACCTCAAACCAGGGGATCAAAAGGTCACTTTGAAGAACCTGGCTGAGGAGAAGTCCTTTAGCGATGCTGCGATTAAGCCACGGCTTGCCACGTCTCAGTCCATATCTCGACTGGAGATGGTGGGATATGGTTGGCCTGTGAACACAAGTGTAACATGATTTGATATTAATATACGCATGGATCATCCAAAGATGCCACATTTCTGCCTGACTTGGCTGGTTTTCAAGAGGAAAAGGCAGACATGTTGCACAGGTGGAAGGTCTATATGATATACATTGGTCGGGAAGCGAGTGTCCATTCTATATGTAGCAACAGACGTAGTGCAACATACAGCAGATGGGTGGGCTTGAACGCTGATTCACCTTTGGAACTAGTGGAGTGCAACTCGACTCAGTCATCCGCACATGGACCAACCACTTCAGGATGCCAATTGGAACACATGAGCCAGGGGCCAGGGGATGTTTGCTAAATTACCCGGACACTTCAGGGCACGTGCAGATGATGTGATGACTCTGATGATGATCAGCAGCAAAAGCCTTGTTTGTTCAAGCAATTAGCAGATGCAGCAGTTCCCCCTATTCATTGAGAGATATGATATTCTACCTTATGTTCCTTCTAATTGCCTGGACCTGAGTACTAAATTTGAGACACTTTCATCTACTTGTAAATTGGGTTTGTTCCATTGTAATTGATTTGTGACACTTTGCACACCAAAGGACATGTTTCTCTACTTAGTTCGGATGACGAGATGATCCGTGAATGGTTGGGAGAGAGAGGCTGAGGATCTTCAGGTTCGATGACTGCGCCGCCGTGGTTCAAAGAAGGGCCGAGCCAGATGGCCTCCAACCGTCCAACCATCACGATGACATTTGCACCGATGCAACTCGTTCGTCACCGACATCAACAGACGAGTCAAGTCCAGTCGACGGTCAGCATGGAGGTCACATGGACTCTCAGGTTCTGTCCTCCACTTTGGGGCATCTAATGATCCAACAGCATCACCATGCAGCACCTACAAAAAAGAAGATGACCTACACTTGGTGATCTTACCATCCTACACTCTACACTCTAATACACTCCATCGCCTGAAAAGAAAGTCACCATCCAGCACCTTGAACATCATATTTACTGTCATTTGCCAGTTCACCAGGTCTTTGGACAATCATCATGAGTCGTCCGAGTCGAGTCTTCCCATTCCAGGGGTTGTAGTCAAGGACCTTAAGCAGTGGGAACCTAATAAGATCTTTGGTTTGAAGTGGGATGACAGTGAATGAAGTACCAGGATTCTCCAACCTCTAGGGGCCACTGCCACCTCAGCTTTGGTACCGACAATGGTGCCTACATGAAAGAGTCGAACACATCACCGTACCTCAGAAGTGGCAGTGGATCCATAAGGAAGTAATGGCACCACAAAGATTGAAGCAATGCATTCGTGAAAGAACTGTGCCGCCTTCGGCGGCGGGTTTGTCTCCATGGACGGGCTGAGATGGCTCGAAAAGAGGACTGGACGGCGCAGGGATGGTGTGGTAGTGCAAGCATGTTAATGTTACATCGCTCAAGGATCGCCAAAGATGTTTCACCATTTGCAAAGTCAGGCTTGCCTGTTATTATCCTCCAAAGCTGCCTGCGAGTCTCAAGCAATACAGAACCCCGCAGAGCCCCAGCTTTGCGCCAGTTTGCTTTCCGCAGGCCCTATGGGCCTTGCTGCGTGGGAAGAACTGGCAGCGGGCCATCCAGGCTGCTGAAAAGTTGCTGCTGGAGGAGGGCCAGACAAGCTGGTCCAAGTGAGATCCTCCACTGTTAGGGCCCTTGAATTCCTGGCCCACCATATATTTTTTGTACACTCTCACTCTGACGAACACATCACATGGAAGTGGAACATGGGCCCCTGGAATACGACTGTCCTCTACAAACAGGGGGCTTTCATTTTCCACTTCCAAGTAGAAGTGTACTACGTAACGCCGGGTCAATCGAACTCCTTGAAGGGTTTCTGAAGGCTAGGAAAGATGTTGAGTTTCCTGTGCGAACTCATCTGCCCAAATCCGTCCCCAGCTGCCAGGCAGCGGTCGGTGAAGGCGATGTTTGCTCTAAAAAAGGAACCACCCAGACGCTCCTTGCCCAGCCCTACTCCCTCAAAACCAGCGATTTGAGACCCTCCAGACTGAGACCCTGAGACCCCTCCATTTGAGGGTCCGGTGAGCGTTTGGAGTCCGTGAGAGTGGCCAAAGGCGGGGTTGGGAGTGGGTCTTGTCATTTGAAAACCTCTCCTGAACCGATCATCTCCGATCCAGGGGACCCTGTCTTGACCTGGGTTGTTACGCTGGTGGACGCTGAAGCAGTGCCACCCACCCACCCAGTGGTTACCCAAACTGTTTGCTCTTTTGGACGTTCTTCTTTCAATTTGTTGTATACAGGTCTATGGCAGTCTAGAGAGGTCTCTAATATCTCTAAATGTGTCTTCCCTCATCTTCTCCAAATTCCAAAACATCTAGAGAAGTTGCCACAGCATTCCTCGCTTTTCCCGCGTCGCTCAGACCTGACCTACCTCGTCTCGCTCCTCACGGCTCGTCACGGCTCGTCTCGCCACCCGCAGCCGCGCGGAACCGCGGCAGGAGCTCGTGCCCCGGGAGTTCTTGGCGCTGATGCGTTCGGCCGGCCGCCGCAGCGCCTGGCCACTGTCCTTGGAGGACGGGTCGGGCGTCTCGTCGGATCTCGTCGGATCTCGTCTCGTGGTTCGGTGGTGGTTCGCCCCCAGGGGTCGGGTGGAGTTGGCAGAGTCGAGTCGGGTCGAAGTCGTCGCGCAGCTCGGTCGTGGAGGTGATTTGGACGGTTGATAGACGGTTGAGTCATACAGATGATGAGGTTTTGCAATCCAAATTGGGGGGGGATTAGGACTTTTGTCTCATGGAGAAAGGCAAATGACATGCGTTAAGCCAGTTGGCTTGGACGAGCTGTGGCGTGTGGCAAGGATTGATTTGGATTGATCTTCACTTGGATCAGTAGAACCTGGTAGATCATTTCGGCAGGCCCTTGAACATCACCCTTGAGCCCCCAAGAGATTGTCCTACAGAGGTTAAGTGACCTTATGACCCTACAGGAGTATAGGGATCCTATGCGGGTGTGCTGACCATGGAGTCTTGTTCTCATGCTGCGTCACCAAGACTCTCACCAGGCCTTGGAGACGATGAGAAAGAGAGAACTGCCACCAGACGAGCTGCCTGGTGACAAGCGGTGCCAAGACGGGCTGCCTGTCTTCCCTCTCACATGGGTCACTGGATGAATCCCCTGCCTGGGCCAGATGTTTTCTCTTCGCAGCTGAAGCCCGCCAATCCGAGGCTGCATTACACTGCGGCCATGCGTGCATGTCGCTTGGCTCGGATCGACTGGGACACGAGGTCCGTCCTGAGGTCCCCAGAGCCAGAGGATCAGGTCATGTAGGACCCGCAACCTGGAATACTTTATGGCATCCTATGGGGTAGTCTTTTGGAATCTAAACCCTACGGCTCCAGGTGCCTCCTCAGGTTCGGTCTGACTGGACCCTCCTGGCACCCACCCAGTCCCACCTCGAGCCTCCTGCCGGCATCCGAACCTGACCCGAGGCACCTCAGCGGATGCGGCGGGGGGCTCCGCGGCGCTGCGGCTCTTTGGGGAGGTGGAGAAACCCAGCCATTTGACCTTCACGGCAGCCATTTCAAGTGCCTGGGAGGGAGCTTTTGGAATGTTTTGGAGCTCTTCTCTCAGTAGTTTTGCTTGGAGTTCTGCATCAAGAAGTTAGGCCTACGGATTTCGCACCAGTTGGCTACATGTACATAAGATGGTAAACATATATATGCTTTTGTTGGGGGGAAGTTTTATTCATCAACTCATCAACAGCTTCAACAATCAGTATGTTTTTCTTGAGGAGTTGCATGGAGTTGCTCCCTAGACCATGGTCGAGAAAGCGTGGAGAACATCCAGAACCCCAAAGACTCGTGAACAAAGATATTCCAGGACCCCCAAAGGGGTGGTTAATGGACAGCCCTTAACCTCTAAGGCTATTAATGGACACCCTTTCCGTGGTGCTGGTTTGGGATTGGTGGAGTTGAACCACTGTTCGCTCCAAGTGCTTCCAGAAACAGATGTGGCTATGACTGGATTCATATTGACCACCGCACGTATTTTGAGGGAAAGGTGATGTCGCTTGGCGTATTTGAGGCATATTTGAGATGCTTTGAGCTGTAAAGCCCATGGCCAAGCCTAGGTTGTGGTGTGACGCGAGAATGGGAGCTCCTTGGTCTAGTTGAGGCGCCCCAAGGTAACGGTGAGGCACCACAGCTGACGCACAGGGGCTCTTTACAAGTTGGCCCCTGATTGAGGCAGAGAGTGAGAGAGAGAAAGTTAAAAGAAAGACAGAGGGGATTTCAGTCAAAGAGAGAGAGAGAGAGAGAGAAAGATAGAGAGAGAGAGAGAGAGCAAAAAAGACGACAACCAATTTCAAGACACTTGCTCGGGGGTCTTTAGCGACAAAAAGAGGTCGCATGAAGCCTCATGCCCGAGAGGCATTGACCACCTGAGAGAAAAAGAGCCCCGCGCGTGGCTGAGGTTGGCGCTGGAGCTCTTGAACCTCATGGCTTTGTCCTCGCACCCGCCGGACTTAGTGGCCTTCCACGCGGCCGTGACGGTGTGTCGCCAGGCGCGGAAGTCGCGGCTGGCCTTGAAGCTGATTGACTCGTGGCTCGGAAGTCAGGAGCTGCGTGGCGTTCTGGAGTTGATGGCGTGGGCAGGGCATGGCCATGGCATGGCCCCAAGGGAATATGGTGTTTCCCTGGCATTCCTGGCCCACCATTCTATAAGAACTATGACTTGGGTTGAATCCCGAACAACCATTGTTTTACTAAGGGGTTCGCACTACACCAGGTCAACCATGTTTCAAATGGTCTTGGACTTCCAGGGGTTTCTTGATAGAAGCAGGAGCATGAATGGAGCCCTAGGCCCTGCTAACTAGGTGATCCAGGTGGACGGGCCCCATCAAATGACTGAATGAGGTGAGACTCCTCAGTTGCATTTGAGACTCCTCAGTTGCTGCAGAAAAAGGCGAGGCTTTTTCCACTTGCAGCTTGAAGACCAGCTTCTAAGTGACCAGCCTGGAGGGTCCAAGCCAGTGACCTTATAGTCCCAGCCTGTGACCCAATTTATGGAGGCTTGTAATAAATCTGGGATCTCAGTTTGGGTCAGGTTTCATGAACCTTCGACTTTGAGGCGACAAAGATGGGCATTCCGCAAGACTGAAACGGAACAACCGATCGGATGTTCCACCAAGCTCAAAGATGTCTAATTTTAGACGATATTATCCTTAAAATCGATTTTCGACTGTTTGAGGTCCCAAGGATTATCCAGACACTCCATGGGACTGCCGATCAGGCCAGGGGTGGTGCCAGGGGGGTCTGTCTGGGGGCGGCAGTCCAGATGGCAGTCCCATGTGTCGACCGACCGTGTGAGAGACGTCGAACGTCGCCGAGGCTTCGACGTTCGGAGCTTCAGCCGGATGTGGTGGCCTACAGTGCGGCCATCGCCGCGTGCGAGGAGGGCTTCCGATGGATGCGCGCCTTGAGCTTCTTGAAGCAGATGGACCAGGAAGGAGGGTGATTTCTAGGGGGGTTCTGAAGAGAAGGAGCTGAAGAGTGGTAAAACAGTGAGCTGAAGAGTGGTGAGTGAAACATGTTCAGAAACAGTGAGTGAAGTACTAGTAGGAGTCTGAAGATGATGAAAGGGGAAAGGATGAATAAAGTTAAGAAATGTCTATGGAATGCCTAGTAGCGCTTGGCCAGACCTCCATGAACGCGGAGGGTCTTGGGCAAGACTCGGCGTTTTGGCATTGAATTCTGTCCTCGTGCACTTAATTGATGCTGCCCCTTTGAACTCAGCACCCCTAAAGAAGAAAAAGTCAAGGACGTAAGGGCTTCAACTCCTCAACGCACACTGCTCGGGGGGCTCCTTCGGGCTGCAGCATGGATAGGGCCTAGTCATTTCCCAGATGTTTGAACATGTTTGAACTGCTGATCCCAGCGCACACCTCGGCTGCGCAGCGAAGCCTTGGCTGGGCGGGCGGCCCATCAGGACGCCGTTGCAGCGAACGTGGTGTCCTTCAGTAGTGCGATGAGCGCCTGTGCCAACGCGCGGCATTGGGATCACGCCTTGGATTTGATGGTCAGGATGAGGCGCGTTGGTCACTAGGTCATCCCAGGTTATCCTGGGTGCTGCAGGATGAAACTGGATGAAACCATATCCGATCAACCAGGGCAGTGTTTCAATCCACCGTGGATGCGTTTTCATCCAAATGGCAACAACACTAAAAGGTCAGTCAAACTTCATTTCAACCCCACGCTCGATGTCCGGTGTGATTCCAAATTCCCAGAGAGGTTGAACTGCCCTCTTTTATCCTCTTTTGGTCTATCCATGTGTACCACCTAAGGTCGGGTCCTATATGGTCTCTCAACCTCTCTTGGATGAACTGACTGTGATCCTTACTATCCATGCAGGGCGTGTGCCAGGACGATCTGTTCGAGAATTCTGGCAGGGGTTGAATAGAAGTGTTCAACCAGGAATACTGGACGCATACCCCGAGAAAAAAAGTAGAACCCTGGCCAGGACGATCTGTCGCAACGACAGGGTTTCTGGCTTTGTTGGAATCCATGCCAACCCCCGCGTTCGATGTACGCAGACGGTCGTGTTCGACGTGTGGCGGTCTGGCGGGTCGAAGGCAAAAGGCGATTGAGCCGAATGTGGTGACGCATTCTGCGGTCCTCTCTGCCTGTGACAAAGCGCATCAATGGCAATGGACTCTTCAGCAATGGGTGGAGATGAAAGAGTCAGGTGCCTTGGATTGGGATGAAGAGTGGAAGTGATGCGTGTGTGTTTTCCCACAGCCTGTGGTTTGTTTGTGAACTGGTGCGCTTAAGAAATGGTAAAAAGCGGTTGTTGTTTCTTCTTGGAGACCCACCTACCTCCAAAATTGCGCTACCAATATCAAATCCTTTAGGCCAAACGACAGGGGGACAGGCTGATGAGTAAGAAAGACGAAACTTCCATTACCGTAACTGACTGGAGCCCTGTAATTGACTGGCTGGAGCCACCAACTCTAGATACATAGCTCATAGCTACGATTTTTTCTGACGCCTCATCCTGCCGCCCTACCCGTGTGTGCTGTGAGGCATTCGCCCCAACCGTATCAGCTACAGCGCCATCTTGGGCTCCATGGGCATTGGCCTCCACTGGCCACAGAGTTACATGGAATGGTTTTGATGTGGGCATATGTTTTGAACATTTTTGAACAAACAGACTAGAACCGCGCGGTTAAGATAAGCGAAGCCTGTTGAGTTTCGATGACTTGTTCTTAGGAAGCTTTTTGGACAGACTCTTTCTTGGTATTGAACATCTTCGAGTGAACGAACATTGGGTTCTCCAACCGATGATTCCTGAATCTTCCCACGGTCCTTCACTTCCTTGTGCTACTTAAGCTGGAAGCTCACCAGCTGCCCAAGCTTTCTGGAGGATTGAGGACACCCCACTAAACTGAACAGGTTGAAAAAGGGTTAACCTTAGAGCCTTAGACTTCCAAAGGCTCTATTCTCGGCACTACCGAAGCAAAAGACATTCCTTGTCGGGCCAGCTAAAGGCCATGGTTTAAATGGCACGGTCTTTCACTCCCAGGCTTAGCTTTATGGTCCAGTGACCTTCTTCCAGACCTTCCCCCACCCTCCACCTTTCAACTTCCAACTGATCGGTCAGTCCATGCCAGTCCGCTTTGGTGCAAGGCTTGTTCCTTTTGGACGAGATGTGGCACCGCAAGGTGTCCCCAGCCCCTCGGGGTGGAAGACCAGGAGCCCCAGGAGACCGAGAAACACCGTTTCGGTGTGTGATCCGTGCGACTAAGTAGCGGTCCACACGGACGAAGTGAGGGGATGGACCGGGGATGGATTTGCGAGACCGGGAGACGTATTGAGACTTGCTCCACACATATCCACACATGTTTCTGGGATTTGGGGGATGGATTTGGGCGTCATGTTTGGAATGTGCATTGAAACACATGTGCAGTGCCAATTTCTTGGTGTGATGGGGCCAGCCCCATTGACACCGGCAGACTGGCCCTGTCACCCTGTTAGACCGGCTGCGGCTCGGTCAATGCCTCGGGACCGTCGAATTTTCGAAAAGTGACCTTGTACCAGCCTAAGTCACCTTATCCTGCGATCTCAAGTCCGATCACTTTGGTATCTCAAGTTCGATCAGTTCGATCACTTGGAAGGTCCTGGACTAGCCACCTGGTCCCGGAGTCGTTGCGCCCCTTTTCGGTTCACCGGATGTTCACTGCATCCCACAGCGCCCGGTCCAGCAACTGCAACTTCTTCCAAGGACGTGCGGAACTACACTATGGCGCTCAGTTCCCTGGAGAAGGCCAAGCAATGGCAGCTGGCTGTGCAGTTGTTGAACTCGATGAGGCTCCAAAGCCTCCAGCCGGACCTGTTCCTGGGCAAGGTTTCGAGCGGGGCCCGCTGGAAAGCTCCGCAGCGAAAAGCGAGGGCATGGGACTCACGAGCCTGGGAGATGGAAGACCGTGATGAATTAATAATCAGCTTTTTCACAGAACAGATGTGGCAGATGATATACAGCATTTTGAATGATGAATTGGACCTCATGAAAAACATACTTCAGAGATTGAAGAGTGTTCTACATAAACGCCCACACCTGGGACCCTGGTGATTTCATGTGCTTTTGAAGGTGGGAGCTTCGGAGGTGTTCTTATTGCACTCTAACAATATCGACCAGGTGAACTGTGGATTGGGAGTTCTTGATGTTCCCTATATACCCAAAGACGACCTGTGTGGTACTGCTATAGGACTGCCGCCCCACCTGGCCGTTTGGAAGGCAGTCCGACATGGCAGTCCCAGACAGGTTGTGTCTGGGATAGTTGGGTGCAACCCCCCTGGCATGTTCTTCGTGTTTTTCTCCCGGTTCCGGAAGCAGATCCGAGTCTACGTGGATTGCCGCACGCCGTGTGTAAGTTGGCTGGTGGGGAATCGTCCGCACTCCTAGAGGTTTCGCACTTTGGACGACCAACCATTCATTTCCCTGGCAGTCCAAGATCATTTTTTAAACGGTCTTTAGGTGATCCGAAAGGGAACTTCCTTTACTTGGGTGGTGCCTAAAATATTCTTTGGACGAACCATTCATTTCAGCTGTTTCGCGGGTGAAGTTCTTTGAAACTTCGCCTATTTGGGGAGGGGACTTCCTGGTGCGACGCCCAGGATTTGCAAGAGCATCGCCGGGGACCTCAGAATGGGTGGGAGCGACGTCTTCCTAGAGTCTTCCAGCTTATTGACTACTAGAAATAGAACACATGCTTGTAGCACAGATAATCACAGATAAACATTCTTATATAACATTATTGTGTTGTTGCCACATGCCGTATAGCTCCAAGCTCACTCGGTTCCAACCTTGGGTGGCCACCGGTAGCCGCGGCGAGGTGAAGCGTGCGCGCTTCGCCGGCCGACTGGGCCGCAAGAGCAGCTGGTCGAGACGCCAAAAAGGTTTGCTCCGCGAAGCGCGGCTGGGAGAGAGTACAGTTGGGTGCAAGTGTATACTAGAGTAGAGTACAGTTCTCTAGAGTACCTGAGTACAGTACAGTACAGTACAGTACAGCAAGTGTCCAAGTTGGGTGTTTTGGACGTGTTTCAATGGCGTAAATGGACGCTATTATATCGAAGACACCTTAAGGGTGCCAGTGCCATGCACTCTGAAAGCAACGGATGTAACTGCTGGAAGTGTGTGGGCTGTTCCGGGGAGTGTGGTGTCCACTCAACATGAACGAAAGTGCCTGGCTCTTGATCGGTGCTCAGAGCCCGGTTTTCTATGGTTTTCTCTACGAGACTCACATGGGCATAAACGGGAAGGTATTGACCAAGGTACACCAGTTATAGCGGGAAAAAAGCACAATAAAAACAAAACGATAAATATTTGTTCAATGCTGCGTATGTTTTCAGGAGAGCCGTTTGATGTTCCAAGGGATCTCCGCGGGAACCAGGGAGAGGTCCGGGTGAACGACAAGTCCAGGTGAAGGAGGTGGCCCCGAAGACCTCCCCAAGCTGAATCTGAACAATGCCCCACTGGGTGTATCCGGATCTGAACAAGACCTCCCAATCACAGATAAAAACAATACCTATTGGGATGTTTAACACCAATTCCCAATCTGAAAAAGACCTACCAAATTGGGTTTGGACCATGTTTTGATCCAGATGTGGCCAGAATGATAGGAATCCGTGCCAAATGAGTTGATTTTGTTTGACCAAGATCGCAAATACACGTTTCTGTGAAGTTTCGACCACCAGTTCATGAGCGCATGTCATGAATGCTCGCCATCCCTTACGGATCAGGTGCGCACAGAGCCTAGCTTTTCACTTTAGCTTGCGCTGGAAAACATGCTGCGCTGTTTGTCCGGCTTTGTGTAGTGGATTTTGCACCCACTGCATTCAGTTGGTAGCGGAGCCGCCATGGACGGTGTTGCTGAGGACCTTTCATTGCCTGCCGGTTGGTCGCCTTCGGAACTGGCAGAGTTGGAAGCATTGCACGCGTCTGTGGACGATGACGATCCAGGTGCGACATCTCATTGGCGATGCCTGAGGTGTCATTCGTCGCATTGGTCATTGGTTGCCCCGGCTTCGTACACCTGTGACAGTTGTGGACATGATGAGTTTTACAACGCCCATGCCCCGACTCGGCACGAAACAGGTGACGGAGTTTGGATGTTTGTGCCAAAGGCTGATGTGGTGCCCGCCGAAGTTCCACAATCCGACTCTCCCTGGAGGCCAGCGGCCGAATGTTCGGATTCCGTGCAGGGAGAGAAGGAGCGTGATGATCCGGCGGAAGCCAGTCCTTCCTCGGTTTACGAGTGGCCCTCTGTTGATTTAGATCCGGAGAAAGCATCCTCAACCTCGAGTCGAAGGAGGCGCAAGAACAAGACCACTGTGCAAGCAGATGATCAGGATCCTACTAAGCCGTCATCACCGATTTCACCCTCCGCTAAGCAGAAGCCCAAGCTGAACATGTCGCCTAAGGCGAAGACAGGCACATCAAGTTCGGAGCTGGTTGACGCCCTCCGACAGTTGCTGGACGAGAGAAGAGCCGATTCGGCATCTGACAAGTCGTGGAACTCCCGTAAGGGACCTGCACCAGGACTGAAATGGCGTGGCGGCTCTCCTCCTCAGCCGCCAAAGTGGCAATACCAGTCGACGGACTTGAGGGCGTACGCAAAATACGAAAGAAGAGTTCAAGTATGGCAGATGCAGGTACAACATTACCTCACAGGAGCTGAAGCAGCATTGATGTTGTTTTCATCGCTGTCAGGCGAGCCGGAGGCCGAAGCAGAGCATATGGATTTGGAAAAGGTCAACGCCAAGGACGGCGTATCCTACATCTTGTCCTGCCTCAAAGGCCCGCTTGAACAAAAGTTGCTTTACCAGAAGCGCATGCTGTTGTCAAACTATGAGGGTATCTCCAGGCAAGGTCATGAGACCATACGACAGTTCATCAACCGATACAAACGTGTTGAAAGGGACTTGCAAAGCGTTGGAATCAGTTCGGCTGCCATGTACGACAGCGAGTCGAGAGGAAACCGTTTGTTGGAACGCTGCCGTTTGGACCCTCAGTTGCAGCGGCTTGTGTTGATTGGTGCGCAAAGCAGTTTACAATTTGACAACATTGTTGACAGCCTCAACCTCCAGTTCCCGGACTTTCGTCCGACCCCTGCTGTGTACCAGCCCGGTAGTTGGCGCCAAGGTGGAAGCAGTGTTAGCTCCAATAGCCATCACAAGGGCAGCGGGAAGAGTTGGTCAAGCAGCACATCCACCAGCGCCTCATCCACTGTTCCATCCTCAGCCTCGGCGTACAATCGTGGCAAAGGCAAAGGCTTCCCAAGGAAGGTCTTTCAGACTGAACACGAGCCTGTTGAAGAGGCCGAGCATGAGGAGGAGGTTCAAGAACCGCTGACCGAACATGGTCAGGAGGAGTTCTTTGAGCCACTTGAGGATGAACCGGACGCCTCACCAGGCGATAGTGCAGAAGCGGTCGACGATGATCTTGGAAACTCATTGAGCGAGTTGGCATCAGTTTTGACAGTGACATCAAACAAGCTCAGAGCAGCAACACTTGGTCGGAAGTTTACAGGTCGTAAGAGCATTGAGGAACGCAAACGCACATCCACTTGCTCAGCATGCGGGGCCGTTGGTCATTGGTCGGGCGACCCCGAGTGTTCGATCTCATCCAAGGGAGGTGGCAAAAAGAAGGGAAAGGGCAAGCCGGCAGGAGGGGCTCCTTCATCATCCGGTACCTCGTCCAACTACCCCAAGAAGACCTTCGTTGTGACCTATGGGGATGAACAGCAGGATGACCCTACAGACCCTTCGGACACCTTCTACACCTTCATGACCAAGAGCATTGATAGTGAGATTGTTGACACTGTTGACACGTCGGCATTTGTTTTTGTTGCAGAGTCCATTGACCTTTCAGGCTATATGGTATTGGACACAGCATGTCAACGGTCGTGTGCCGGAACCAAGTGGATGCAGACCCATGAGAAACTCCTCAACAACCATGGTTTGGTGTGCCACCATGAGCCTTGCAAAGACCGATTCCAATTCGGCGCAGGAAGTTGCCAGACGGCCCTCGGCAGATGCTACTTCCCAGCAGCCTTTGCAGGCCAGGTCACTCAGGGATTGGTGTTGGGAGTCAGCATCCTGGATTTGCCCATTCCGTTTTTAGCAAGTCGCATCTTGTTGGAGCAGTTGGGTTGCATCATTGACATGAGTCAGAACGTTCTGCACATGACAAAAGTTGGTGTTTCATTGCCGCTCCGTCGTCGACATGGTCACATTGTTGCTTACATCAACGCCTTCCCAACACAGGTTGCCAAGTTGTCTTGTTGGAAAGAGTTGGAACATGAGTGTTTTTGGGACAAACCAAGTCCTGAAGTTGTCGTGCACCCCGAAGCTGTGATCTCTCAGAGTTCGACCGACGTTGACATCCACGCCGCCTATGCATCGCACCAAGCAAGCTCCAGAATGGCTGTCGGCTTGGAGGACCATCATCCTTCGGGTCCTCTACCTGGAGTTCAACTGCCTGAGACAGATGGCTCGCTTGGTTCGGCTGTGTCTTCGCCCCCGGTCATGGTTGACCTTGGCGGAGGAGCAGGAGCTCAAAGAGATGCATCGAAAGGACCTCACAAGGCCAAAGGTGTCTCAGAAGCACTGCACGCATCCAGAGTTTCAGAGGTACGGCAATGCCCACGGCCGATACAGCCGATGCAAGAGGTGCGATCTCAAGTTCAAATGGCTCCCCGAGCACGAAGCATGGGTGGAGTACTCACCAAAATCCTCCAGCTCCTCAGCGCTGCCGTTGCCTTCGGCAGCCAACATCTTGGAGAAGGGTCCCTTGGCCATGAAAGCAGCGTCACCCAAACGGGTCTTCAAGGGCAAAGGGAAGAGCAGGATGACAGCCCCAGCTCCCTCCAGCCGCAGGACTTCTTCGATGTCCGTGAGCAGTGCCAGTTCGACCAACAAGGCACAGCGCTACGACATGACGGCACAGGACTACGAGAATTTCCTGCAGACTGGGCTCACCAAGGAGGAATATCACGAGATGATGGAGACGGTCAACTCGGAAGCATTCCCCGACTCCGAGGATCCAGACGGCTACCCGGCGGACGGCTGGGAGTGGTGAATGACCCAGGTCAAGATGGCCAGGACAAGGACTTTTGGGAAAAGTCGAAGACGAAGTACATTAGGCATCACATCACCCCAAGACTCCTGCTATTCCAGCTCAACCCAGCTGATTGTCCTGTGCCCACTCACCTTTTGGTGCCAGAATGCCGTGCAGAGGTTCAATATGAGGATGGGACATTTGAAACCATCACGTACCCATGGCAGTCACACCAGGCCACTCAGCTTCCGAAGACTTGGACTGGAAGAACCGTCTTCACTGTGACCAGTCCATCCAACCATTCCATGAACCTGCTCACCAATGCTGGCAGAAGGGCTCTTCGCACCAGCATCCGGCAGGCTCACCAAGTCTTCTCCATTGAGTATGCCATGGTGAACCAGACCGTCGATGAAAAGCCTGTGAACATGCACAAGATTCGGGCCAGCCGGTCCAAAGTTGATGTCTTAGAGACATTCGCAGGCAGCGCCAACATCTCCAAGCGCTGTGGAAGATTCGGGCTCTCAGCGGCTCAGCCCATCGACTTTACCACAGGATGGGATCTGAATAAGCCCGCAGATCAGCTACAGTTGGAGCAGCTCATTGGAAAGCTGAAGCCACTGGTGCTGATTCAAGGAATCGATTGTCGTGATTGGACGATCTTGCAGGACAACTGCAATTATGTCAAGAGAAAGATCTTACTGCTGATGAGAAGGGCAAAGGCCCGCAAGTTGCTGAAGAAGATTTGTCAATGGTGCAGACAACAGCACCAGGAAGGCCG